GTAATCTGCCGTGCTTACCTGTATGGCTTACGTGTGACTCCAGACCCATAGCACTGGGTGTTGGTGAATTTGTAGCTGTCCTCTGAAATAGCCTAGCAAGACATTCAGTTGTGTCAATTTGCTAAAAGGTTTCACTAGGAAGGTCACCTGGCACTGACCTAAGCACCGGAAACAGCAACATTTCTTCATTACATTTGGAGACTAATACCAAAATTGAGGGATTGCACAGTAATCGAGCAATAGCTGACATAGTCATACTCAAGGAATCGTGCCTTACCGGCAATGTCCCAGACGACATCATCTCATTTCTTGTCCCACTGGCAGCGTAGACCCAACAGAGATGGTATACAGTGGGAAGAAATTGCCCTGGGGTGGGGGGTGCTGTACTCAACATTGGCTCTGGGTGAGCACTTCACTATGCACCCAGAGGTAATTTGGTTTGTCATATCCTGCACTCTACCATTAAAATCAAGCCAGGAGTCAGCTCCATTCCTCTGAAATGAACATTAAGACATACCAGGAGCAACAGCAGGCGTAATTTTAAAAACTAGATATCAGTCTGGTGAAGTCCCATCACAGGATTATTTGCATGGATCATGCCTGAGCAGCAAGTGATAGACAGGGCTAAGTGATTCCAAAGCGAACAGATCAGATCTCGCCTGAGCAGACCTGATAAATCCAATTGTGAATGTTGGAGGGATAGTTTACCATTGACCAGAAACTGAATGGATGAGCCAGATAAATGAATCCTGCAGCAAGTAACTTGCCTTTTGATCAAGGCAAATGTCTGGATTGTAGTGGAATACTCTGCACTTGTCTGGATGACTGCAGCACCAGTAGCACTGCACACTCTTGACACTATGTAGGCTAAAGCAGCCCACATCATTGTTACCTCATTCACTCCCTCCACCACCAATCAACAATAACATTCAAGAGCACTATCTACAAAATGCAGAGGTTCAACAAAGCTCCTTGGTTGCACCTTCCAAGCCTATGATCACTGTCAACTAGAAAGACATGGGTAGCAACACCTCCCACAAGTGTCCCTTCAAGCGACTCACTATTCTGACTTGGAAATACATTGCCATTCCTTCAGTTCACTAGTTGAAATACTGGAACAACCACCTTAACAGTATTGTAGGTGTACTTACACCAGATGGATTGCAATCGTTCAAGAAGATAGCTCACCACTGTCTTCTCAAGGGCCTTTAGGGATGGGGAAGAAATATAGGTCTAGCCAGTAATGCCCACGTCCCATGAATTCACTAAAAACTACTTGTGTCGGAGATTCAGAGAATAGTAAGAACTGCTGATGCTGGAGTCAGAGATAATAATGTGGAGCTGGAGGAACATAGCAGGCCAGGCAGCATCAGGAACAGGAGACTACTATGGGAAAACCTCATAAATAAGCGCAGCAGCTGGAGAACAGTTTTTGTGAAGAAATCCTTTTGTTATTTTTTGTAGCTATGAATATGTAAAGGGGCTTTGATTGTATGCCTTCAATTTGCTTACTCATAGATTGTAGTAAAAATAGCCTTCGTTCATGGATTGCTGCCCGAGCCACGTGCAAATTGGCATAGGGAGGCAAGGATCAGGGAAGTAAACACATGGCTAAAAGAGTGGTGTGGGAAAGAGGGTTTCCTTTTCATGGGGCACTGGCATCAGTTCTGGGACAGGAGGGATCTATAACGCTGGGATGGACTCCACCTACACAGGGCCGGGTCCAGTGTTCTGGCGAAAAGGGTAAATAGGGTGGTTAATAGGACTTTAAACTAGTAAGTAGGGGGGAAGGGAGAAGTGAGCAAAGAGGGAGAATAACAATTAATGTAAGGCAAAGCAGTAGGTTAGCAGGTGACTCCATTGAAAATTAGGAAAAAAGTTAAAGGGAAGGAGAACTGGAGAGCTGTTAGTAACGGAGGTAATAGGACCCAAAAAGAAGGTGCAAAAACTGGCATAAGGGCAATTTATCCGAATGCTCGGAGCATTCGAAACAAGGTGGATGAGTTGACGGTGCAAATCATGGCAAATGGGTATGATTTAGTGGCCATTACAGAGATATGGTTACAGGATGGTCATGACTGGGAGTTAAATATCCAGGTGTATCAAACTGTTTGGAAGGACAGACGGGAAGGTAAGGGAGGTGGTGTTGCTCTGATTTTTAAGGATGATATCAGGGTGGTAGTGAGAGATGATATAGGTTCTACTGAACAAAACGTTGAATCCATTTGGGTGGAAATTAGGAATAGCGGGGAGAAGAAGTCACTGATAGGTGTGGTCTAAAGGCCACCAAATAATGACATTGTGGTGGGGCGGGCAATAAACACAGAAATAGCTAATGCATGTAAAAATGGTACAGCAATTATTATGGGAGATTTTAATCTACATATCGATTGGTCAAACCAGGTCAGTCATGGCAGCCTTGAGGAGGAGTTCATAGAATGCATCCGCAATAATTTCCTTGAACAATATGTAATGGAACCTACGAAGGGAGCGAGCTGTCCTAGATCTAGTTCTGTGTAATGAGACAGGAATAATTAATGATCTTATAGTTAGGGATCCTCTTGGAAGGAGCGATCACAGTATGGTCGAATTTAAAATACAGATGGAACGTAAGAAGGTTAAATCCAGTACCTATGTCCTGTGCTTAAACAAAGGAGACTATGAAGGAATGAGGAAGGAGTTAGCCAAGGTAGAATGGGAGCAAAAACTTTATGGTGGGTCAATTGAGGAACAGTGGAGGACTTTCAAAACGATTCTTCACCGTGCTCAGCAGAAGTATATTCCAGTGATCAGGAAGAACTGTAGGAAAAGAGAGAGCCAGCCATGGATGTCTCCATGGAAAGTATCAGATTTGGAAAAAAAAACACATACAAAAAAGCAAAGAGTAGTGGGAAACTAGTAGACTGGGAAATCTTTAAAGGCCAACAGAAAGCCACAAAAAAAGTTATAAAGAAAAGTAAGATAGATTATGAGAGTAAACTAGCTCAGAATATAAAACCAGGCAGCAAAAGTTTCTATAAATATGTAAATCGTAAGAGAGTGGCAAAGGTAAACATTGGTCTTTTAGAGGATGAGAAGGCCAATTTAATAACTGGGAATGAGGAAATAGCTGAGACATTAAACAGTTATTTTGTGTCGGTCTTCACAGTGGAAGACACAAATAACATGCTGAAAACTAATGGCAAGAAGGTTATAGCAGGTGAGGACCTAGAAACTATCATTATCACTAAGGAGGCAGTGCTGGGCAAGCTAATAGAGCTAAAGGTAGACAAGTCTCCTGGCCCTGATGAAATACATCCCAGGGTACTAAAAGAGGTGATGGGGGAAATAGCAAATGTACTAGTAATTATTTACCAAAATTCACTGGACTCTGGGGTGGTTCCCGCAGCTTGGAAAACAGCCAATGTGACGCCACTGTTTAAAAAAGGAAGTAGATGAAAAGCAGGTAACTATAGGCCGGTTAGCTTAACTTCGGTCGTGGGGAAAATGCTTGAATCTATCATTGAAGGAAGAAATAGCAAGACGTCTGGATATAAATTGTCCCATTGGGAACACCCAGCATGGGTTCATGAAGGGTAGGTCATATTTAACTAATTTGGTGGAATTCTTTGAGGACATTACTTGCATGGTGGACAATGGGGAACCTGTGGATGTGGTGTATCTGGATTTCCAGAAGGCATTTGACAAGGTGCCACACCAAAGGCTGCTACGTAAGATAAAGTTGCATGGTATTACAGGTAATGTATTGGTATGTATAGAGGATTGGTTGACCAGTAGAAAGCAAAGAGTAGGGGTAAATGGGTGTTTTTCTAGTTGGCGGTCAGTGGCTAGTGGTGTGCCTCAGGGATCAGTGTTGGGACCTAAATTGATTACAATTTACATAGATGATTTGGAGTTGGGGACTAAGTGTGGTGTGTCAAATTTTGCAGATGACACTTAGGTGAGTGGTAGAGCAAAGTGTGCAGAAGACACAAAGTCTGCAGAGGGATATAGATAGTCTAAGTGAGTGGGCCAAGGTCTGGCAGATGGAGTACAATGTTGATAAGTGTGAGGTCATCCATTTTGGTAGGAATAACAGCAAAATGGACTATCTTTTAAATGGTAAAAAATTGCAGCACGCTGCTGTGCAGAGGGACTTGGGTGTCCTTGTGCATGAATCGCTGAAGGTGGGATTGCAGGTGCAGCAGGTAATTAAAAAGGCAAATGGAATTTTGTCTGCCATTGCTCAAGGGATGGAGTTTAAAAACAAGGAGGCTATGCTGCAGCTGTATAGGGTCCTGGTGAGGCCACACCTGGAGTACTGTGTGCAGTTTTGGTCTCTTTACTTGAGAAGAGATATACTAGCACTGGAGGGGGTGCAGAGGAGATTCACTCGGTTGATTCCAGAGTTGAGAGGGTTGGATTATGAGGAGAGACTGAGTAGACTGGGATTATACTCATTGGAATTCAGAAGAATGAGGGGAGATCTTATAGAAAGATGTAAGATTATGAAGGGAATAGATAAGGTGGAGGCAGTGAGGTTGTTTACACTAGCAGGTGAAACTGGGACTAGAGGGCATTGCCTCAAAATAAAGGGAAGCAGATGTAGGACTGAGGTCAGGAGGAACTTCTTCACCCAAAGGGTTGTGAATCTGTGGAATTCCCTGCCCAGTGAAGCGGTTGAAGCTACCTCACTGAATGTTTTTAAGGCAAGGCTAGATAAATTTTTGAACAGTAAAGGAATTAAGGGTTATGGTGAGCGGGCGGGTAAGTAGAGCGGAGTCTCAAAAAGATCAGCCATGATCTTATGAAATGGCAGGCAGGCTCGAGGGGCCAGATCACCCACTCTTGCTCCTAGTTCTTATGTTCTGCTCATTTTGGTGCAAGATTACAATTATGCAATCAATTGCACCAATAGCATGTGTCAGCTCCCACTGGTAGTGGGGACAATTTGATCAATTTGACTCTTCTATTTGTTTGATGTAAAAACTAACCATATTCCTGTTCTGTTCTTGTTTCAGAATTTCATTTGGCTGCTGTGGACGATTCACTGCTGCTGAACTACTCTCATTTTCCCTTTCAGTCATGCTTGTGCTTATCTGGGTATTGACAGGGCACTGGCTACTGATGGATGGTGAGTGAAGAAATCTGTGGGTGGATGCCACCATTTTGAGCTTTATAACTTTTTTTTGTTGTCTCCCCAGCACACTGTCTGTTTCTGAAATTGTCAATAACATCTAGCTGTGCTGATCATCAAAACATTTCTCAGTGCTGTGATAAAGATTTTTTTTGTGTCAGATACTTGCCATTGATGTTGTGGAAATTGTTAATGTGATATGCAGTTTCAAGAAATTCAGTAAGGCTTTCAAAAAGGAAAGAGAATAGCTGTGTGGAGGAAATTCGCGCTGATAAAGCAAAACATTAAAGAACTGAAACCCAGTTTGTTTCCTATTGTGCCAATATATGTGTCTGCATTGCAGTGTAAAATATGAGCACAGGAGCTTCTCATGAAGATAGGTGACATGAGTACGCTCTCGGGCTATGATAATAACTGAATCATTATTGGGTGCAATTTAGTTCCAGTTTATAGATGCTATCTTGATTTTGTCTTGCTCGGCTACAAGAAGAAATGGTTCTAATCTACTGAGTATTTTACTGTCTAGTTTCTCTTATGAGGACCTGAACTAAGCAGTTGGTGCCAGTAACTTTCACATTTAACTTTAACATTAACATTTGATATAAGAAATTGTAGTGCCTGGCTTAATGTGCCTTAAGCTATTTCCGTCTTGTTGAAGGCAGTTTTTCAAATCTACCACAAAAAAACTCTGCAGCTTCTTGCTGGACAGACTGGAAAGTGTTATCTCGAAGCTAAATATAAGAATATGTTCTTCCCAAGTCCAGAGCGGTTACCTACCATTGTTGAAAGGCTAGCTCGATGCTGCTGAAACTTAATCTGCAACTCCGGTTGGAGATGCAAACATGTATATGTACATTAATTGTGGAGGATGGTGACAATGCAGTTGCACATGTTATTGCGCGTTCTGCTACTTATCATATCACTTGTTAGGAACGCCTGGTGTTGGCAGACCCACAGTTACCTTGCGTAATGACGTAGGGCAGAGAAGGGACATGGATCTAGATGTCTCCAGAGTGACAAGTATTTTGATGTAGCTTTAAACCCAAGTCAACTTTCTGGCATGTTGGAGATGGAAATTACTTGAGCTAGTCTGAAGGAGCATAGCACTTAGGGGGTTTGGATTCTGTCCACTTGCCGAGATAATGTGTCACCAGTTCAGTTGGGTATAGTAGCACTGGCTGAGCAAATGTCACGAAGTTTAACAGTGCTCAAAATGACAACAGGAATGCACTCAAATTCTTGAGGTTTTGTTGTAGTGGCTGATGTATGAAATGGATTATAAAGATAAATTGTTTATTTCTTAAAGCTCCTCTCAACTCCATTTTTCGGCTTTGATTTGTTTTTAAATTGTTTTAGTGAACCCCATGAGTAATAAGTTAGTAATGTGGAAGATGTTATGCTGAGTTTTAAGTGTAAGTAAAATTACTGTAACTACTCATAAGATGCGGCAGGTGTAGATGTTTTAATTTTAATAAGTGCAGACATGGAATAAAATTTCAAGTTGCAAACAATGTTATTGTAATTGTGCAAAAAAGACTTGATATTGAAAAGTCCACTTTAGACGAAGTAAAAAGCATATCAATTCAGTGGATTAGAAAGAAAAAAGTTCTTGTTTTGACTTTAGTAAGATCATACCATCACTAGTGTGTTTAAAAAATCTTGTTTCTTCACTAATGTCAATTTCTGCCCATCCTAACCATTATACAAGTTCAAGCGTTGTACGCTATAATTAATTCTTCGTATATACAGTATCGCCACTTTTACTGCAAAGAAATCCTCATCCTGCACCGAACTCTATTGTTTTGCTTCCTAAATGGCCACAAATTTCATCACAGCATTGTCTTCACATTGACGCAATGTATAACTTCAAAATTGGAACTGAGTTTTATGTGCAGGCATTACCTTCTAACTTCCTTTTGCATGAAGATTAGTTACATTTTAATGTTTATATTTTACCTTGTACACTTAATGGTAAGGTCCTGGGCAGTGTTGCCGAACAAAGAGACTTTGGGGTGCAGGTTCATAGTTTTTTGAAAGTAGAGTCGCAGGTAGATAGGATAGTGAGGAAGGCAGTTGGTATGCTTGCCTTTATAGGTCAGTGCATTGAGTATAGGAGTTGGGAGGTCGTGTTGCAGCTGTATAGGACATTGGTTAGGCCCCTTTCAGAATACTGCATTCAATTCTGGTCTTCCTGCTATAGGAAAGATGTTATAAACTTGAAAGGGTGCAGAAAAGATTTACAAGGATGTTGCCAGGGTTGGAGAGTTTGAGCTGTAGGGAGAGGCTGAACAGGCTGGGGCTGTTTTCTCTGGAGTGTCACAGGCTGAAGGGTGACCCTATAAGGGTTTATAAAACCATGAGAAGCATGGATAGGATGAATATCCAAGGTCTTTTCCACAAGGTAGGGGAGTCCAAAACTAGAGGGCATAGTTTTAAGGTGAGAGAGAAAAGATTTAAAAGAGACATAAGGGGCAACATTTTTAGAACCTGGTGTGTATGAAATGAGCTACCAGAGGAAGTGGTGGAGTCTGGTACAATAGCAAAATTTAAAAGGCATCTGGATGGCAATATGAATAGGAAGGGTTTAGAGGGATATGGGCCCAGTGCTGGCAAATGGGACTGGATCAGTTTAGAATATCTGGTCGGCATGGACGAGTTGAACCGAAGGACCTGTTTCCTTGCTGTACAGCTCTATGACTCTATTTGGTTTTCATTTTTTATGTGCAGAGATATGGGTTATTGGAAAATATTCTCTGCAGGATGCACTTTTAATCAGCAAACTAACTTTTACTCTAATACCTGCTAATTAATGCTGTCAGTAAATAATGGGGAGTGATTAATTAGATTTCATGCTGTTCATTTCAATCAACCTTTATTGTTTTACTGAGAAATACAGCCTTGAGAAATTTTAATGCTTACTAATCAGAGTCTGAGCATCAAAAGATGTGAATCATGAGCAGTGACTCAAAAACTCTGGCTGAGAAATAACAATGACGTTATGGATTGTAACATAGAAAAGATCCATTGAAAGATGATCTCTGTTGACTTAGACCAGAACTTGGAAAGTAGATGCTTCTTCATCTGTCCTTAAAATCCTACATACTGCACTGTAACATGACACAATTAGAAGAAAATCTGCTGTCCAATTTTTTTCTGTATCATATTTGAAGTTCTTGATAACTGGACCTGGACTGTCCCATGGGAGAGAGATGATGAGCTAAGATCTTGGTGGTTTAGAGACCACTGTGAAATCTCTAATGAGGGTGGGGGGGAAACAATTGGTTTTATTTGTTTTATTTTGGCCTGCTGACGCCTGATTCTTAGGGCTTTGCGTTGTGGTGACAAATTTCTGCCTCCCATTTCTAAAGGTCATTTGTCTGTGGGTTTTAAAGATTCAAAAAAGCTCAAACTTCAAATATTATTACATCTATCTTAAGTTTTGTTGTCTTTACTGTTGACATTTTCCTTTTCATTTCCTCTCTTGCATTCCATTCTGAATCATTTCCTTGACCCTTATTAATTTTTCATGCCATTTAACCCTTCCTTGAACTCTTTCCTTTGTGAATCAGTTTTGTTCTGTAGTAGTGCTGTCCTGAGTTAAGGTTATTGTTTTAAGTAGCACTGTTAATTTTAGTTGATACTGCAGTGCAATCCTGAGGTGTGCTGTTGGTGCTCAGTCTTGAGAGAATGCTGCTAAAGCTGCTATGTCTCATGAGATGTTAAACTGACATTCTGGGTATCTATGTAGTGGATACAAAAAGCCCAATGGAACTTTTCCAAGGGAGACCAAGGTAGCTGTCCACTCTCCTGGCTAAATAACTTTTCAGCTAGCACTACTAAGGCTGATGTGATTACTTTATTTCCTCCTGAGCCTTGATAACTTTCACCTCTTTAATTATTGAGCATTTATTGTCTTCTGCCTTTTAAAAGTATTGAAAAACTGTTCTTCCAATGTTGTCTTTGGAAAAGAGTTCCAAAGAATCATCGCCCTCTGTGAGAAAATGGTTCTCCTTGTCTCTGTCTTAAATGGATGACCTCTGCATTTTGAACAGCGACTTCTAGCTCTAGATTCCTCCAGAAGAGAGAGCATCCTTTCCACATCCCACCCTGTCAAGATCCCTTAGGATCTTCTTTTTCAGGTGGAACCTCGATTAAAGTTTCATTTTAAAAACAGAACTTTTGACAGTGCAGATCTCCCTCAGTACTAGGTTTTCTCAGGTCTTTACAATGGACCTCAAGCTGTCAATTTTCATGCTAAACCAAGAGATAAGACTGTGTGCAATCTCAACACAAATTTACTTTGCTAACATTGTTGAGATTATTGTGAAGACTGAGCAGTGTTCATTGATACCAGTAAATAGTAAGAAATTCTATGCACACATCATGTTAAACCTGTGTATTTGATAAAGATTTTTAAGTTTTCAAATATTTGTGTTCTGATTCTGATATTACAAAGAAGAAGGCTATTCTGCCTGCCATACCTGCATTGGTAGATCTCTCCAGTTAATATTTCATCGACGCTCCTTCGTCCTATATTTGAAGGGCAAAAATGAACATTGAATTCTTGTTTGAAAGGTACGAGCAATTCTGTTTCCCTCATCTTTTCAGCCAGTGCAAGGGGTTTTGAAATTTCCTCATGGCATTTTTTTTTTTTTTGGTTTTTGCAGTCGTCTTAAATTGCTGTTCTCTGACCTTTTATGGCACTGAAGACAGTCTTGCCTTACTAATTCCATTAAAACCATTCATGATTATCACTACTGTTGACAAATCTTCGCAACTTTTCCTTGTTCTTGGAAGAACACTCCCAGCTTCTCATCACTCCTGAATTCCCTTGTGCCATTCTGGACTGTCTTCGAAGCCTTGACATCCTCCAGTGCGTTACCTAAGATTGGCTACACTACTGCAACTAAGGCTTAACCAGTGATTTACAAAAGGTCCGCATGATTTACGTGCATTTGTGCTCAATGCCTCTATTAACATAGCCATGTTTTTAAAAA